AAGATGGCCAGATTTGGTACTGTGGGTACTGGGATCAGAACTCTAGTCTTCATCACTGTGGATATCTTAACTGCTGAGCCATCTTTTGAACCCAATTTGGGACTTTAAGGAAAAGGTCACCACATAGTTAGGAAGAACATGACAGTCTTAGTAACACAGTTCTGTAATCTCAGCACTCACCAACAAAGTCCCTGCGTACGAGCCTCAGTTACATCATGACACGGTGTCTCCAAAACCGGGGTAAAACACCCTCCTACCACCACAAGAAGAACTTTTTTTTTTTTTTTTTTTTTGCTGTGGCTTTATTTTGATAGACTGCCTCATTACACAACAGCTGTCTGTTGTCCTTATCTTTTAATGTAAGCAACTGTGTCCACTCAAGTTCAGTTTTTACTACATGTTTTCTTTTTTTGACACCATTACCCAGCCCCCAGTGTCTTGGCATGGGTAGTAACTCTTCAGTGTTGGGAGACTCTAGTTGTTAAAGTGAGGGTCTGATTGTTTAGGTGTAACAAAAATTCTTATCTTAGAAACTGTTAATTTCTTTTTCCTGAAAACCATTTTATTTACTTGTAGGTCATCAGGATCTTTGAGGAGAATTTGAAATGTTTTGAGACATTAAATATATATTTTTCTTTATAGATACCTAATCAAACTATCTTTCAATCATCTATCTAGCTATCATCAATCTGGTAATATCTATTTATCTAAAATCTATCATCTCTCTGTATCTATCTATATCTTGATATATTAATATGTATATATATACATACTCACAAACATATATGTATATATATGAAGATACATAATATTTTATCCTTTTTATACTCATAGTCAATTTTATTATTAAGTATTATTTAAATTAAATTTATTTTTAAAATTTATTCATTTTATATCCTATTCCTAGGCTTCTCCCTCATCTCCTTCCAGTCCTACCTTTCCTCCCTCTTCTTCACTATTGACTTCTCCTAGTCCTCAGAAAGGGGAAGGCCTCCTCCCCTACCAACTGACCCCAGACTATCAAGTCTCATTAGGACTGTTTGTAACTTCTTTCTCTGTGGCCTGGCAAGGATGCCCCTCCAGAAGGAAGTGATAAAAGAGCAAGCAACAGAGTCCATGTCAGAGACAGCCTGTTCCCTTTACTAGAGAACCCACACAGAGACTGAGCTGCCTATCAGCTACATCTGAGCAGGGGGTCTAGGTCCTCTCCATGCATGGACCTTGGTTAGTGCATCAGTCTCTGCAGACCCCTCCTGGCCAAGATTTGTTGGCTCTGTTGGTCTTCTTTTGGCTGGGTATAGTAGTTGGGATGACATCTGTGGTCTTTTCATGTCTGTAGGATATCTGTCCAGGCCCTTCTGGCTTTTAGAGTTTCTAGTGGGAAGTCAGGTGTAATTCTGATAGGTCTGCCTTTATATGTGACTTGGCCACTTTTCCCTTGAAGCTGTGATGATTCTTTCTTTGTTCTGTATAGTGAGTGTTGTGATCATGATTTGTGGGAGGATTTTCTTTTCTGGACAATATATTTGGTGTTCTATAAGCTTCTTATATGTTAATAGGTATCTCTTTCTTTAGATTGGGGACATTTTCTTCTATGATTTTATGGAAAATATTTTCTGGGCCTTGTTGCTGGAAGTCTTCTCCACTGTTATTACTATTCATAGGTTTGTTCTTTTCATAGTGTCTGAGATTTCTTGGATGTTTTGTGCCGGGTACTTTTTAGATCTAACATTTTCTTTGACTGATGTATCAATTTCTTCAATCGTATCTTCTACACCTGAGATTCCCTCTTCCATCTCTTGTATTCTGTTGGTGATGCTTCCATCTCTTGCATTCTGTCTGTAGATCCTGTTCTCTTCCATCTCCAGCATTGCCTCAGATTAGGTTTTCTTGCTTGTTTCTATTTCCATTTCTGAACAGTTTTATTCATTTCCTTTTTCTGCTTGATTGCATTTTCCTGTTTACTTTAAGAGATTTGCTTCCTCTATTAGGGCCTCTATTATTTTTATAATCTCATATTTAAGATTGTTTTCTTGTGCTTCAGGTATGATAGTATCTCTGAGGCTTGCTGTGATAGGATAGTTCAGTTTTGGTGGTGTCATATGGCCCTGGGTTTTGTTGCTGTGTTCTTGCGCTGGCCTCTGGTTGTCTCTGGTTTTAGCAGGCCAGGTGATTCCTAATAGTCAGGCAGCTCTGGAGTAGGTAGAGTAGACTCTGTTGCTTGGGACTCCCACAGGCTTCCTCATGATGGTGGACAATGATAGTCAGAGCCCACGTACAGCTCACCTCTGCTGGCTCTGCTGGCTCAGCTGCCTATGTGTCCCAGGTTGGCCAGGCAGATCAGGAGTCAGTGCAGAGGGCTCTAAACTGAATGCTGTTCAGGCCCCCCAAAGGCCTACTCAGAATGGGGATGGGGTCCTCATAAAGCTCACCTTTGCTGGGTCTCCTGGCTGTGTACCAAGTGGGAAGGCAGATGTGGAGTAAGGCAAGCACACTCTAAGCTGAATGCTGTTCAGTCCTCCCACAGGCCTCCTCAGGATGGTGGGAAATGGGCTTGTTTTATTCTTAAGGCAGGTCTGTGCTATATAGCATAAGCTATGCTTAAATTTGCCATCCTTCTGCCTCAGGCTCATGAATCCTGGGATTACAGACCTAAGAAACTGAACTGTAAGTCATGGCTTTTGCAGCATGTCCTTTGAGAGCTCAGAATGCTTAGTTGGGTCTTTTCATTCTAAGAGATCAAAAAGCTCCTATCATCTAAACATATTTGATCTTCAATCTGCTGGTTTAGGTTCTGAAGTGCTTGTTCCCTGTCTTCCAATTGATCACCCATATATGGACCCTGTGTCTCATTCCTGTTGGCTGTTATTCAACATGGATATGAAGAGAACCCAAGTAACAAAAGAAGTTATGATAAAGAGTAGGCAGTCTTGGGGAGACATGGCTGTAACCTCAGTACTCAGCAAAGATGACCATGAGCATGAGGTTAGTGTGGTTAAGAATCATTGTCTTAGGTTTCTATTTTCAGACACACCTTACCTGGTGTAAATAGGTTTTGGGGGAACGATACACAATAAAACATATCTGTAATTAATTGATGATATAATCCTTAAATGTACCTTTTAATTATTAGTGAATCAAAATTCTAATAAATTATACCCCATGATGAAATCTATCATTTATGTAAAAAGCTTACCCTACATTTTTAATACTCCAATTAAATGGTTTCATATATTAAGTATATGAAAATTTAATAAAATCTCAAATCCTTAACACATGAAACATAAAATCCAATGAACACATTTTGTTCACCTTTTCCATTTTATTTTCAGCACTGGGAGTTGAACTCAAGGCCCTATACATTCTAGGCAAGCACTCTACCAATGTGCTTCATCTCATCCATAATGCATATCCATATTAATATCCACATTAATAATCCATAATCCATATTAATAATAATCTGTGCAACCAGTAGAATATTAAGATTTTGTTTGATTTTCCATTTAAAATACAATTAAATTTTATCACCAAAACTAATTTTCACTGGAGGAAGGGCATCTTAGAGACCAGAAGATATTAAAATTACCAATTTAATTTTAATAGAAGTTCAAATAAAGTTGTTTGTTTTCCCTGCAGAGTTTTTAAAACTTGTGGTAAGAAGCCTGTAATAAGTCATAAGACAGCAAAAAATAAAGTCTACACTCATGAAATTTGGCAAAAAAAACTATATATTCATTCAAACATCCACATAATAAACAACTATGACATAATGCTTTCACATTACTCATTCACATTAATTTAATATTTAAAAATAATTATCATAGATTTTGTTTTAATCATCTCCTTGGAGTTTATACCTTTTATATCGATTTTCCCACTTCAAAACCTTTATAAATGATATCTTAGCGATTGTATATGAAACTGTTTCGATATAATAATATACCACTGTTCAAAATATAATTTAGCTTGGAAGAGTAGCAGTAGTTAGTAAGAGTTACTACAATTTATTAATTTTCCTACTGTTACACATTTGATTTTTTTAATAAACACTAAATATACCTGGAGAATAAATTATTCATTATAAATGCTAACTAAAAATTGTACTTGGGCAGGTTTGGCATCCTTCACTTTGCAAAAGTAATGTAGCCTGCATTCTTTTGTTTTTAACTTAGCAACTAAAAATGGCTTATTTATTCTTGACAAAGCTGGTGTACAAAGCCTGGATCACAAAGAAATGATTATCCCAAAGAAAGTCAGTATAAAATAAAATTAATGTTTGGTAATAATAAAAATGACTATTCACTGAACACTTGAACTCATACAATCAGCTTATACTTAAGTGTGGTTTTCTTTTCTTTTTTTCTTTTTCTTTTTTAATAATTTTTATTTTTTATATTAATTACAGGTTGTTTACTTTGTATCCCAGCTGTAGCCCCATCACTCATTCTCTTCCGATCCTAGCCTCCCTCCCTTATCTCCTCCCTGACCCTCTCTAAGTCCACTGATAAGGGAGGACCTCCTCCCCTTCCATCGGACCCTAATTTATCAGGTCTCATCAGGACTGGCTGCAATGTCCTCCTCTGTGACCTAGCAAGGCTGCTCCTCCCTATGGTGGGGGGGGGAGGGCGAGGGGAGGCCAAAGAGCCAGCCACTGAGTTCATGTCAGAGACAGTCCCTGTTCCCCTTACTAGGAACCCACTTGGATGCTGAGCTGCCATGGGCTACCTCTGAGCAGGGGCTCTAGGTTATAGCCATGCATGGTCCTTGGTTGGAGAATCAGTCTCAGAAAAGACCCCTGTGCTCAGATATGTTTGGTCCTTGTGGCGCTCCTGTCCTCTCCAGGTCATACTAACTCCCCCTTTTTTCATATGATTGTAGCCTGCATTCTAATACACTGACTGATCTTTGTAGAAGTATCCATTTCTAAATAAAAGAAACGAGGTATAAAAAGAAGACATTTAGATATTCTAGTGAAGACTGTAAGATATTTATGTGCTCACCTTTGTAGGATAGCTTGAGCCGTGGAATATTTTGTTTTGATGTTTCAGTCACAGGAAGAAACAGCACCGTCATGATTAGCATAGTCCAGGCATGAAAAAAGTGAAGATCATGATTTCTGGACCTTTGGTTCTCATCTTTATCAGCATTCATGGTGAAAATATTGTATTTCAAATACTGTTAACTCACCCTATGAATCAGAAAAAAATAAAAACACTATTCAAAGACAGTATCTTAAGTTCTCATAGAGTTATCAACATTTTTCTAAATGTAAAACATGTTTTCAAAACATAACTTATACATTTGCTTTTATTTTTACAGACATATTACATATACTGAATGAAAAGTAATAAAATTCAAGTCTATCTTTAGTTGGAGAAGTAGAATACACTGGTAGAAATTCAACTATTTTGTTAATGAATAACTTTCTTCTACAAAAGTTGTTTTATTTTGTTTTTTGTTTAAATGCGTACCTTCAAGGAACGATCTTTTTTTTTTTTTTCAAAACTTGGTGAGTCTGTTTATAAAGCAGAAGTGCTTGTAGAATTCCATTTGTTATTCCTGACAACCTGCAATGAAGAAAATCCTCAAATGGAAATAGACAAAAGAGGGAATTTCCATCTTTCTGGCTTACAAGGCTTTACAGATGTTTAAGTTGGTGAAATTGGCTAAGATCAAGTTAGGGCCACAACGCAGAAGTTAGGCTAGAAGCATGTCCTATGCTATGAGTGCAGGCAAATCTGTCCCACACTGGAGAGGGCTACACAGGATATTACGCTGTAAAATATAAAAACTTATGAGAGGAAGAAATAGTACCTAACTACACTCTGACAGGAAGCTGACTAGATGTTCTTTAAGATACGTAGAATATATAAACACATATTTCAAACTAAACCTGTAATTAAAATGCACACCTATCAATTATAAAAATATATCAGATATATTAAAAATGTATTCTGTATGATCAAAATCATTTAACACTAATAAATTGTATGAAACAAAACTCTTTAAAAATTTTCACTAATGAGAAAACAGGTTCATAGCTAAATAATTCTTCCAATGCCACGTGGTTAAGAAGAGATGAGTCAAAATAACTGATCAGGACTTAATCTATTGGCTGTCTTCTTCCTGGCTAAGCCCATAGTATTTTTTCTGAAGTCCAGTGATCTTCAAATTTTAACAGGATCTTTCACTTCTCTTCTCGTAACAAATAAGATATCATCTGTTTTTCTAGTCAATAGTCAACAGGAAACAAATTGCCATACTGGAGCCCAGCAGGTGATCTGCATGTAAAGCCTGTTCTTTGTAATTACTGTAAGACAACATTGGTATTTCCTTGTGAATAGCTTCATGCCAAGTTACTATGAATCCTATTTTAAGTGGTGTTATTCATTACTGCATATTCATGACAAACATTGCAAGGTTATTTGTGTTAGTTTTAGAATATTCAATTAAGGTTGATTTTGTTTTTTCCTTACGAAAGATCAATTATTCAGTTTTCTGAAGTGTGTGACGCATTTTTTGGTTGGTTTAGCTTTTTGGTGCTCTGGATAGGAGCCCAGGTCTCATTTGTGGAAGGAAAATGCCTAGATCTGTTAAAGACTTTCAATATCAAAGTTATTTTAAATCTCAGAAGGTAAAATCCAGCCCTGAAAGCAAAATACATCAATTTTTAAGGTATATGATATACATATGTCTGATACACATTGAGAATTAATTTCAACTTTATGTAAATTTTCTTTTATATTACTGTTTATGCTGAATAAATTATATTTTCTCAATTACTTTTATTGCTTTCAAAATATGTATAGAAATAATGTAATTATCCCTTATGTATAATATGTGATTTAATTCTTACAGAGTACTGCATATGTATAATTAAATTTATTTAGATATTTATTTAATGATATTTTATCTAATGTGCCCCTTAGCATTATTTTACTCACATTTACCTGAACTTTCTTGAAGGTTTTACACAAATAAGTACAGTGTAACAGAAAAAAAAGAAAATGTGATGGCTATTCTTGGTTGTCAACTTGACTATACCTGCAATTTAACTAAAACCCAAATGACTGGCCACACCTCTAAGGGATTTCTTTTTCTTAATAAAATTATTTAAAGTAGGAAGCCCCACTGCAATCCACATAAACCTTTAATCAAGGTCTTTTGAGGTGGGAAGATCCATATTTTTTATTTTTATTTTTAATTTTTTTCTTCACAATATTTTTATTATATATTCCAATTGAAGCTCTCTTCCTCAACTCTCCCAGTCCCACCTTTCCTCCCTCTTACCCCTAACCCCTTCCCCTAGTCCACTGAAAGGGGGAGTTCTCCACTATTGCCATCTGCACATAGCTTGTTAAGTCTCATCAGGACTGCCTGGATCTTCTTCCTCCATGGCCTGGCAAGGGTGCATCATCAGGGGCGAGTGATCAGAGAGCAGTCAACTGAGTTCACACTAGAGGCAGCCGCTGCTCGCCTCACTCAGAGATCCACATGGAGACTGAGCTGCCAATTGGCCACATGTGAGCAGGGGCTTTAGGTCCTCTCCAAGTAAGGTCCTCTGTTTGTGCATCAGCTTCTGCAGGACCCCCTGGGAATTAGATATTTTAGTTTTGTTGGTCTCCTTGTCTCCTGTCCCCTCCATGTGTTGCTATTCCCACCCCTCTCTTCCTTTATAAGACTCCCTGGGCTCTGCCCAAAGTTTGGATGTGTCTCAGCATCTGCTTTGATCCCCTGTTAGGTGGATCCTTTCAAAGAACCATCTGTTATAGGCTCCCATCCTGTTTCCTCTCTTCTCCTGCTTCAGGTGTCTATTCTGTTTGCCATTCTGGATGAGATTTAAGCATCCTCCCTAGGGTCCTCCTTAGTGTTTAGCTTCTTTAGGTCTGTAGATGGCTGTCTTATATTATACGGCTAATTACCGCTTTTAAGTGAGCATATACCATGCCTTTCTGTTTTTGGGTTACCTCACTCAGGATGATCTCTCTTGTAGTTCCATCCGTTCACCTGTAAATTTCATGATTTTCTTGTTTTTAACAGCTGGGTAGTATTGTCTAAATGTACCACAATTTCCGTATCCATTCCTCCGTTGAGGGATATCTAGGTTTTATCCATATTCTGGCTATTACAAATAAGCCAGAATAGTTGAGCAAATATCCTTATTGAATGGTGGGGCATCTTTTGGGTATATGCCCAGGAGTGGCATATCTGGGTCTTGAGGTAGCACTATTCCTAATTTTCTGAGAAAGTGCCAGATTGATTTCCAAATTGGTTGTACCCGTTTGCATACCTGCCAGCAGTGGAGGAGGGTTCCTCTTTCTCCACATCCTTGCCAGCACCACCTTTAATCTGGGCCACACCTCCTGGTGACAGCCCCTCTAAAGGACATGGAAGAAGGAGGCTCTGTTTTTGCCCATTTATGTTCTCTCTTGTTGGCAAGCCTATCTTTCACTGGCATTAGGCTCTTTTTCTTCAGGATCCTGGCATATCCTGAAGGTCAGCTGAGATATATATCCTTGAGGACTGAACAACTGCTGGAATTTGGGATCTTCTGTTCATAGGCAGCCATTGTTGGATTAGTTAGACCAGAGCCCACAGCCTGTAGCCATTCCAATAAATCTCCCTAATATAAATATTTATTCTATGTTTATTAGTTGAGGTTCCTCTACAGAACCTCAACTAATTAAAAAAAATGACCTCATAAAACAAGAAGACACAAAAATAGGATGATTACATGGTTTTGAGGGTAGGACAGCTTGCTGCACATGCTGGATGAGTTCAATACTCAGAACCTCCCTTGGCACACATCTGTACTCTTAGTACTTGAAGGAGACAGGAGAATCTCCCAGATGCAGGAGAAACAATGAGACCACCTACCTCAACAAAGTTAAGGCAAGGATCAACTCCTGAAAGTTGTCTTCTGCTCTTTACATGCAGACCATGATACACATGAAAGATAGCCTCACATATTTCACACAAACTGTATTAAAATTAAAATGCTAAATGAATCAGCAGCCATTTATAAGAATTTGTTTTTCAACTTAGAATTACTCATGTATTAATATTACAAATGGAATCCTTGTTTAAATAATACATTTGAAATAACTCTAAAACTTTGTTGTGTTTAATGTGTGTGGGTGTGTGTGTGTGTGTGCACGCGCAAGCCCACTTGTGAGCAGTTGAACGTCTGTGGGGAATCCAGAGGACAATCTTTGGTGTTATTCCTCAGGCACTGTCCACTAGGTTTTTGCTTATTTGTTTGTGTGTTTTGAGGCTAGGGCTCTCACTGGCCCAGATCTCACTGAGCAGGCTGTTGGCTGCCAGCAAGTCACAAGTTTTTTCTTCCCAGACCTAGCATTACAAGTGCATACCAACATTCCTGGTTTTTAAATTTTAATGTGGGTTCTGGGATTTGAACTGCTGTCATCATTTTACCAACTAAATAATTTCCCCAGCCCGTGAATTTTTTTTTGTAAAGTAGTGGTTAAGCATGTTCACACTGTTACCACAAACTGACTCCCTCTTAATAATCGGTTAAAAATATCAGATCAGAGTTGAACTGTATTTTCAACAACTCCATGTCTAATAAAGGCAGTCTTTCAACTCCTTAGTTTGTCCTTACACTGTTGAAATGATGTATTTTTGTCTCATAGATTCACCTAATATATTTGCTTTTTTTGACAATGCTTATCACAAGTTTTTGTTTGGATATTATAATAGATATTTTTTTCAACTATGTGCCTCTCTCTCTTTCTCTCTGTGTATGTGTGTTTGTGAGTATGTGTGTGTGTATGTGTGTGTGTGAGCACAGATGCCACCTGACATGAATGACTCTTGCAGAGGCCAGTGCACCCTGGAGCTAGAGTTACAGATTATGAGCTACCTGTTTTGCTAATGAGCATGCTTGTAACTGAACTTGGGTCTCCTGTAAGAGCAGTGTACACACTGAACCAATGATCTGTCTACTGAATTTATTTGGAGACAGTCTTAACTGTATAGCCCTTGCTGATCCCATGCTCACAAGATTGTTCTCAAGCTAGAGGTTGTCCCCTTATCTCTGAGCCCTAGATTATTGGATAATAACTGCACATCACCACACCTGAGTTAAGCTTTCTGTACGCTTAAACTATATTTATACAATTTCAAATGACATTTGTATATATAGATATATTTGCATATATGTTACAC